ATAATTGGGATGGAGGTGGGGGGTGGCAAAAAATATAATATGAAAACCCAGGAATTTAAGAAAACGAAAATCCCTTGGCAAAAGAAAAGCTGGCTATACCCGATCATTGGGATGGAGTTTTCTGCTTGAAAATTTTTAAATACTGCTGGATAATTTAAAAAACCTGGAGTGAACCGAAATATCACTTCTATTTTATGAAATCATATTATTTAAGAATTACTCAAATTGTATTAATTGTCTGAAAATTTATGTGAATGTTCCCTTTTTACAACAGTGAAACATGAAATTTCAATGAGGTAAAAAATGTATCCATGGAATAGAAAGTATACATTGTGATCTATCAAAGTCTCCTATTATATATCAGCTGAATCTTAAGCTGAGTCAGTTTCAATTATAAATTGTTGCATAAAGATCCCACAATGTATTTTTAGTTAAGTTCTGATTCTATTCTCTTAATCATATGTCTCATGTCTTTTAAGCTAGAAAAAACAAATATACAAGTCTTCTGTTACTCTTAATTGAGTGGTAGTAATTGCAATGTCTACCTGGTCACTGTCATCAAGGACTCAGACAGGATATGTCTGGTCATGTATGACTGTTATTGTTATGATAGGGATTAAGGTCCAATAACATAGACATTACATAGACATGTATTTCACTTATTTCAATTTCAGTGAATGTTATTCAGAAGCTTTTGTTTTACTTGCACAATGGGCTTTCAATTAGAATTATGCCTTATTCAGTGTTTACTTCAGTCGAGACTTCTAGTTTCTGAGCCGATTTTTCTAAGAGCTCTAGATACGTAAGGAATTGATTGTCCGGGTGTTGGCCACAAAAACCAACTACTGCATATTGTTCTACATATATTGTCTACACTGGGTTATAGTATATTTTTCTGGTAACAGAAACTTTCATTTAGAAAATGAGGATTTAGGCAAGGATGTATTGACTGAATATAGGGATACATCCACTATCGACTTATCATAGGGATATCATCATATTCCAAAGCCACCATAGATACCCCCAGAGATATTTGTTTGGGTAAAGTTTCTATCACCCTGTACCTTTTATACATGCCACATTACCTTTATTGAAGCATTAGACAATGTTTTATTACTGAAACACCAAAACATTGGGCCATGCAGATTTTTACTATTGCAGACGTTTGCACCCTTTGGGTTCCATCTTACATGTATTGCCATTTTTGTTCAAATTTTATGTTCTCTTGCTCATCTAAAGTACTTCATTTTTATCAAAATCAATTGATATCATACTTTGAATGCAGTTATATGGTAAAAGTAGAAAATATATATTATTAAAAATTGTTTATAGAAGGCAACCTTGTGTGACCCCATTTTAGAGGCAAAAGCCCCTGTTAGAATTGATTGATCTGCGAAAGGTTAACTTTTACCCCTCTTGAATATAGATGTAATTACATTGTGGACATGCATTAACATCAACATTTCTTCAGACATTCTTCTACATGTTCTATGGTCATTTCACTGAATTAAAACTCATGATGGTTGCAATTGTAAAAATGTTCAATGATTGAATGCGACCATTGCAACCATTGCAGATTTCAATGAGTAATGGTTGTAGATGGTTGCATTTAAAAATGCAATGATCGCATGTTAATGGTTGCTTAACCATTGCAAATAGTGAAATTCTGAATTACAGCCGATGGTTGCACAATGATTGCATGTCATTTTGCAATGATTTTTCCTTTGATCTAAATGGTTGAAGCAATCATTAATCGATGATTGCTTGCAATGGTTTGTTTTCGGAATTTCAAGGTCGGATTTTTTATAAGGGATAAACCAAATCTTGTCATCAAACTTCCAGGATAACTGCTTACCTGTTCAACTTGAAATTTTTACAGATGCAAGAGCAGACTAGTACCAAGATCTGATTAGGTTAAGGGCATGCTGGGTAAACTACTTGGCGGCCATTTTGAATTTTTCAACAAATCTTGTCATCAAAATTCCAGGAAAACCACTTATCCGTTCAACTTGAAATTTTTACAGATGCAAGAGCAGACTATTGCCAAGATCTGATTAGGTTTTGGGTATGCTGGCTGAATTACATGGTGGCCATTTTGAATTTTTCAATTTGGCGGCCATTTTGAATTTTTCAACTTGCTCCAAATTGACCAAATTTTTTTTTAAAAACATCTACAAGTTCTCAGAAGTTCAAATCTGACCTTAGATTTCAGATTTGACCTTTCATTCACCTTCAGTGACCTTGAAAAGGTCAAAAAAGTTGATTTTCTAAATTGATATTTTGGATTTAAATTTAGGTCAGCTTAATTACAAAACACCTACTGAGGTCTCAAAAAGTGAAATTTTCAAGGTCGAAGGTCAAGGTCATTAAACTAGGTCACAAATGATGTTATCCAAGTTTCTCAAAGTTTGAGACTACAAATCAATTCTTGTCATCAAAATTCCAAGAAAACCGCTAACCTGTTCAACTTGAAATTTTTACACATGCAATAGCAGACTAGTGCCAAGATCTGATTAGGTTTAGGGCATGCTGGGTAAACTACGTGGCGGCCATTTTGAATTTTTCAACAAATCTTGTCATCAAATTTCCAGGATAACTGCTTACCTGTTCAACTTAAAATTTTAACAGATGCAAGAGCAGACTAGTACCAAGATCTGATTAGGTTAAGGGCATGCTGGGTAAACTATGTGGCGGCCATTTTGAATTTTTCAACAAATCTTGTCATCAAAATTCCAGGAAAACCACTGATCCGTTCAACTTGAAATTTTTACAGATGCAAGAGCAGACTATTGCCAAGATCTGATTAGGTTTTGGGTATGATGGCTGAATTACATGGTGGCCATTTTGAATTTTTCAATTTGGCGGCCATTTTGAATTTTTCAACTTGCTCCAAATTGACCAATTTTTTTTTAAAAACATCTACAAGTTCTCAGAAGTTCAAATCTGACCTTAGATTTCAGATTTGACCTTTCGTTGACCTTCAGTGACCTTAAAAAGGTCAAAAATTTGATTTTCTAAATTAATATTTTGGATTTAGATTTAGGTCAGCTTAATTACAAAAGACCTACTGAGGTCTGAAAAAGTGAAATTTTCAAGGTCGAAGGTCATCAAATTAGGTCACAAACAATGTTATCTAAATTTTCCCAAAGTTCAAGACTACAAATAAATTCTTGTCATCAAAATTGCAGGAAAACCGCTAACCTTGTCAACTTGAAATGTTTACAGATGCAAGAGCAGACTAGTGCCAAGGTCTGATTAGGTTTTGGCCATGCTGGGTAAATTGCATGGTGGCCATTTTGCTCTTCAAAGTGCGATATTTATCACTGTGTGTCTTGTTTCAAGTTTGCATTATAGAAAAAGTGTCGATTGACACTGAAATTCTTCATTAGGGAAACACTGGCATAATTTTTGAAAAGCTTGCTTTTACTTACAAATTAGAGCTTGCAAATATGAGAATAAATTTTTTCAATAACAATCAAAATGATGTCCCTTGACACGTTTACTAAATAACATTATTTGATTGGCTAGACATTTAGTATATTGTCCTACTCCATATCTCCCTTATATTAATGGGTGAGCCAAAAAAGGTAACCCAATCAAATCTTAATAAATGTAATTCAGTCATTCATATTTGGCACAATTAAACCTTGTTTAATTCAACCAAGTATCATTGGTCTATTACAAATGGTCACCATTTTATGGCAATTTCACAAAACATCCTCAAACCACTGGTCTTGTCTTTGGAGTCAAACTTGAATGCATCTCTTGTTTCTCTGATGCTTCTATGGTTGGCTTTGGTATGTTTTGGCATTTAGAGCATGTTTTGTAAAATGGCTATAAAAGCATGACCATTTAGAATAGACCAATGAAACTAAGTAGAATGAAAGAATCTTGAACAAGGTTTAATTGAGCTTTGCAATTCAAATTTTGTAAAATGAGACACTTATTTCAAAATATCAGCATTGTTTTAGTTCTCATCATGAGAAATTATGGCCTTCTACTTGCTTCTTTCTAGTTGAAGGCAGAAAGATATGATGAGTATTAGAATGGTTTCTCCTTTGATTTGCATTTTACAGTCAACATGGTAAAGGAGGATCTAGGAGTGGTAGATAGCTTCACTTTATATGGTGCCAGGACAATGGCAGGATAGTCTATTGTCCTGGCACAGGATATCCACTGTAGGAACTTCCTTTATGTTAGTACTTCCACATTTGAAAACTAGGCAAAAAATGATATTTTGTCATGGGTGGTTGAAATTTGATCTTGATATTCTGGATTTTGTATACTTACGACATTTACTATTCCATTCACAGGTATGCAACAGTGTATTGTGTTATTTATGGGTGGGTAATGTAGTTTATTTTAAAACAATGATGCTACTAATTTTAGGTGTGACATGAGTTTCATGTTGTTTTTGTTCAATGTTCATTCATCAGTTCATGCTTTTAGTGCAGAATGATTTGTATGTATCTGGGTAACCAATACAGTCAGTTTCTATTTTTAGTCTATTACTAGCTTTCAAATGAGCATGTGATTGTGAATGGAGGTTTTCATTCATTGTCAGAAGATTTATTGTAAATAAATAAGACCTCTTTATTGACCTCTTGATTGACATCATGTGATGTGTTTTTGGAGCTTGGACCCCCTGCATCAAGTGCTTGCTCTTGACCTAGTGACAGTAATCTGTTTATACCAGGCACTTTAATTTTGAATATTGGTCTGCTTGCATCCTCTAAAAATATTTATTCATCAGAATAGAAGGTTGATGCTTTAATAAGAAATCATATGGGGATTTACCCGGAAATTACGTCTTAACCAACAGCCGGTTGTTATCTAGTGTGTTATTGATTTGTTTACATCTGAGGGAAACCTGTACCATGTATGGAGTGGCTAATGACGTCAATCGTAGCCTTTGACCTAATTGACATATCGCCCTCATTGGCTGTTTGGAGTCACGTGCTCAAGAATGTTCTAGTAGTTACTGCTCCCTGATTGGTTGCTATAGGAAGAAAATGTGTAATGTTACTATTATTAGAAATGATTCATGCTAAAAATAAATTCGCCACGATTTTATATAAAAGCTACGAAGAAGGGCATTCCCTATTCAGTCTGACTCATCGAGCTAAGCAAAAACCAAGAGGATTCCCCGATATTTCTTAGTCAGAGTCATATCTACTACAACATAACTTTAAAACACACGTGAGGGATAATTTAAATAAACGTTTATACTGAAATGCACAACACTGGATCGAAAAGCGACCGGGATTCAAAGTACACCGTTGCCGACATTCTCTCGTCTATGGCCAATGGCGAAGCTGTAACTCCAACGGTAAGTTATTCAGCTTAGTCTACGCATAATTTTAGATTTTTATAAGTCTATAGTATCAATTGGAGTATGTCTATATTCTTAATCAGGGAAAAGAATTGTTGCATTGTAATTTATAAATATATGAACTGGGGTGTGAAATGCAAGGACTATCTTCCATGCAAAATGCGCCAAAATCTGTCCCCGGTAATTCAAATGTAGAAATAACACTTGTTGCAATGTTAGTTATATGCAATTTTTGTTTTACAGGCATTCTCCTCTCCAAACTTCATAAGTGGTGTCACAACAATATCTACACCTACACTTACTCCAACGACATTGGCGACTCTTGAGCAGTCATTTATTGACCTGGACAAAGCTTCGAAAATGTCTCCAAATCAGGTGACGCAAAGTGGCTTCGTGCCTCCAGTTGTGAGTGAATTTTATGCTGATAACAGCAGTAACGACTCTGTAACAAGTAACGATCCTGAATGGACACCAGTAGGATCAAGCAGTCCCAAGAAACCAAGGCTGAGCAGTGGCCGAACAAGTATGAGAGTACCAATTGTAATACAGAAGGCACCACCAAATAGAAACAAGGGTGGTAGAAAGCGTGCTGGGACAGATATTGAGGTAATTATTATTTGAAATCATGGTGTCATTATCTATATTTAAAAGTGATAGGATATTCCAGTTTCTCCAGTTTAAATATATCAGTTTGTGTGGGAAGCCCTGAGGTCTGTTGAGCATATCTGTGGTCACTTGAGCATTCCAGACATTGCTAGCAGTTACTGAAGTATAGACAAGCCAGGACAATAAATAGCATATAATAACCTTAAAATACCCAGGTTTTTACACATCTAGATACTACTTAACCACATCCTGATAAGTCCTATGGCTATGGTATGACCTTTAGCTATAATTGTTTATTTTTGTGAACATATTTCAACATTGTTTTTATAAATTATCAGTAACTTCCATTGGTTGCTATGGTAATATGGGATTGGCTTATGGAGATTTACTTGATATCAGAAAGTACTGAGTTCACCTTGTTTATATCACACTTCCACTTTTTGTAGATTTCTCCTTTATCATAAACTATTGATTCAATTTCCAATAATAAATGTGACATCTCCAATCAGTAAATATCAATTAATAACTGAATAATAAACACATTTGTTATAAATAATATACAAGCTTTTCATCAATTTTTCTCAGTATTCAGTACAGTTTCTCAAAAATCTGAATTTACCCAAAGGCTGATAGATGGTTGAAATTTTCACTGTGACTTTTTAATTTTAAGTTAATTATCATTATCACTCTGTGACCACAGGGTTTTCCCACACTTAAAATAAGAAACATTGTCAAATAAATGCATCATAAACTAAGTACTAAGTGGAGACAATTAAGACTAATTACTGTGAGAACAAATTATATATAGACATTTTTTATCAAGATAGTATCAATATTTATGAATATTTTCTTGTTTTTTCAGTTACCACCAGCTGAAGCTGAAAAACGACGTGTTCGCAGAGAGAGGAACAAAGCAGCTGCGGCTAAATGCCGTCAACGACGTGTAGATGCTATAAACACTCTGAGTGCAGAAACTGATGACTTGGAAGATGTTCAAGCAGAACTTGAAAATGAAATCCAGAATCTCAGCCAGCAAAAAGAGCAATTAGAGTTTATTCTACAGGCTCATAGGCCTATGTGCAAGAAGCAGCGCAACAGTGTTAGTGTTATTGTAAAAACTGAGTCTCCCCGTAAACCAGTAGCAATCCCTGTTCCAGTGACAACCCAACATAGACCTACATCATTAAACTTTGTATCAACTGAAACAACCGCATCAAAATCAACTTTAGCAACTGGAGTACCTATAGTTACGCCATCTAGTGGCATAGTAACATTTTCATTAGACTCTATTGTAGATGGCAGCACTGGACTTACACCATTGTGTGGACCTCCCACGACATGTGCCAACATGGTAGAAAAATCAAACTCTGGGTTAATGACTCCAACGACTTTAATATCTTTATAAGATGTTGTAATAAAAATGTATATATGATTGTAGAACTGACTTAGTCTATGAAGAGGATTGATATTAATTAGTGGAAACAACTAATTATCATATATTTTTGTGTTGCCATGGTAACATTGACAATATGGCCAGTCTTTACACTGATAATGTAGTTAAGTGCACTGTACATAATAGCCAGAGTCAATGGCACTAATTCTAGAATTTAAGCAATTTATTAAATGTATATTTACCAACAGCACTACTGAGAAAGATTAAACTGAAGATTTAAACATAAATACCGGTTGAGTGTAAATATTAGCGATGGGACAAATGCTTTGCTATTGTTACATTTGTGAAATGTATAGTAACTGTTTTAGATGTTTATATCTGTTATTACTAGAATTGTCATGACATGTACATGTATGCAATCATTGTTAATTCAAATCTCAATATGTTTACATAGAAAGTGCAGAGTAGAATCCTCTGATGTTTCATTTCTAATGATCTTCAGCTGTTCACTGATCTGAAAAGCTGTGAAATTGTTATTCTCGCTGCTTCTGTTAGAAGTTGGTGTATCTTTTCTTCATAATTCTGTTTATATTTTTATATTATATGTGTAAGAGATATTTTTACTTAAAAGTAGTGGAAAAATAGAATTGTTCAAAAACAACAAAAAAACATCACAAAAATAAATTTTAATACAAAATACTTGGCATTTGTTTTGTTCCTTTGTTTTTGTTGCGTACACAATCTTCAATGCAAATTAGCCTATAAAATAACTCTCTCAAACTTAGTCAGTAAATAGTATTACGTCGTAGTATTAGATATACTTTTATAGCAAATAGTGTTCCAAAACAAAGATAGATGGCATACTATAGTGTAGGCCTACCAACTGCAAAACCCAAGTATGGTTATGATCCAGTTTTATAGATGTCCTCTGTGCAATTACCAATTAATTTGCCAATAAAATTTGTGAATGGGGTTGGAAACTTGGAAGGGGACGTTTTCCTTGTTTGTAAGTTATGTCCGTGAATTTATATATCGTCGGTGTTATACTCTAATTCTTTTGATTATGTTTGTTTTTGCCATTTGTTTGTGGAATGTATCATTGATTAGGGTATCATGTCCCAACGATCACTTCTTTTCTTTGTTTCTCACCATGGCACCTGTGAATGAAATTGAAAGAATTGATAACTTGAATCTGAATGCAAGATGTGAGGTAAAGCCCAATGCCGGTAAATAAAACGATAAGCGCATAGTAATTGTAAGTAAAAATTATTGCACATGCATGAATCATCATTTGATTTGGCGGGTTATATTCAAATAAGAAGACCCCATAGCATAAACGAAAGATTTAGACCACCAAGGTGGAGTCTTTGTCTATATTACTTTTATCGAAGAGGTCTGAAAAGGCTCCTTGGATCAACTTGTAAACAAAAGCACATGTATTTTATTTAGTGAAATACAGTTAATCTATTTAACATTACATCATACAAAATCAAGTAATACGTGTAAACAATATAACCCTATCAAATGACTTTGATTTAAAATGCAAACAACTCTATTTTATCGCTTAAATCGTAGAAAACAGCCAGTTAACGATCAGATCAGGATGACGTATTGGTTCTAAAAATAGAATCATAACATAAATGTGTATACATCAGCATTCCAGATCATTTTGAAATCCACGTTGGAACCTATGAGTTGGTTTGGGGCAATAAAGCAGCTTTTCCCTGCAAAAGAAGAAAGACGGTCCATGCAGAAGACCATTACACTCGATTTAGATCACTGTCATACACTACAAGTAAGTTTTTTTCATTTTAGATCTATGTTTATAGAATTTTACTGAAATCTCCAGCTAAAAACTTGGCACATTATGAGAGACGGCTTCTGAATACTAATGTAAGATTTATGGTGCTAGTTTACTTTCTCATATCAGAAATAATACATCAAGTGCATTTAGCAAGTTACACTTAGCAAGAAATGTTTTCGTTCGAGCATGTTAGAGAAGAATAACAAGCTTGAACATGCATGAAGGAGATACAGCTTCGGCACGGAATCGAAGGACGGATCGATGAGACAATTCAAAAAATATATAATAGGATAGATTGATCAATAAAAAACGTTTACTATATGAGCGGATGATTACAACACAGTTGATTCAATTTAACAAATGATCCTGAATGTGCTATTTTAACTATTAACTCTATTTTGAAATGCATTACGCGCGTTTTATTAACAACTAATCCTGACACCCCTGTAAACAAAATAGATTGAGCCAAAAACGGGGAATCCCCTGATTTGTTTTATTGCTGAATAATCATTGCCCAGGCAGATTCAGAAACCGCAATCGTTAGCAAATCGTTGAGGTGATAACATCATTTTTACTTGTTTGTAAACTTTGATATGTACAATAACATTGGTAAGTGTACGCAGATAGTTGATATTTTGCAATGTGCGAAAAAATTGTGCAATAGTCTACTGTTCAATTTGTTTTTATTTTTATTTCAAGGTTTTATGTTCTTTTAATTTAGATCCATTGTTCTTTTGAATTAGCACATCCAATTATGAATATTTTTAATTGATTGGGCAACTGTACACCGCTGTCAGGTATTGTGTATAACTAATAGTGCTTATTATCTGACTTTCAATAGTTGTGTGGATGTGTTGAAATCATTTCACAAGTTGCATCAGAAAATCTTGAACATCCAGGGTTGATTTTGTACTTAGTAATATTAGTCTTCACAGATTTCTGTACATAGTATTCTGAGTTGAATCTAATTCAGGCATGAGGTTAATGTTGCTTCTTCACCATTTTGATCTCCAAGGTTTGTAAAACTGTTGTAAGTTTATAAGACTAGGATGAGGAAAAGAATTAATGCATCGCTGTCAATCATTGAAAATCAATGTGTTGTAAGGTTGAATCAAGTTAACTTCTATCGATGGAGAAATTCTTATTGCACAAAATAAGAAAGAATTGGATTGCTAGTTCAAAATGGTGACCAAACTAACAAAGAAATCGCATGGGATATTAGTTTAAGATCTTTAACTGACTTTTAACTCAGGATTTTATGGAGCATTTTATGTGTTCTTGCAGCCTTGAGCAGATACAACAAGATGCACGGAGATCCAATGTTTAGCGCAATAGTCAATGGGATGACAGACACTCACTGTGACACACCCACTGGCACAATCAACATGGCAGATGTGTTTCCAAAGTTCATTGATGCAAGCATAGCAGAGGCCGCATTGGAGGTAATAATGGAATACATTTATATTTGTTTATTTATTTTAAATCTGATTATAATTGAGTGATTTTCCGAAATGTGCATATTTTCATGAGACTTTTAAGGGATAAAAACAAAATTCTAAATATATGTGCGCAATAAACATTGTGCCTCTGAAATGTATCTCCATAATCTTTTAAGAATTGTTTGTATAAGTATTTCTGAAAATGTGATTGATGTGAATATTATGTTTCCTATATGCATGTTAATAGGCAGTGACGACTGGGTCTATTATGCCATTGGTGAAGGAAGAGCTGAAGTGTACTATTCAACGGAAAAGACTTGCCAGTGGACAGAATGAATTAGAGACAGAAACAAAGCTCCCAAGATGCGAAAAGGTAATTTTCAATGTCATGCTATTAAAATTCAGAACTTAGCTTTTTCAAAAAGATGTATAATAGGCTTAATAGCATTAATGATAAAAAAATATATTGGTGATGTCAGTAACAAGTATAAACTTTAAATCTGCCCAACCTCCCAATGTTATATAAAATAAAAAGTTGGGAGTACAAATAAAATCACACCTGAATTTAACCAAGAAAAATTGTTCAATAAGGATCAGACCTACCATATAGAAAATAAAAATAGGTTGAAACCTGAATTTTTAGGTGTATCAAGTCCTTGTCTTAACAAACTAATGGCCAAGTAGTCTCAAACCAGGTTGCCCTGGGGACAATAAACTCCCTAACATTCACATGCTTTATTAAACAGCTATCTGAAGAAGATGAACTCAAAAGAAAGAATCGCAGAGAGAGAAACAAAGTTGCTGCTGCAAAGTGCCGTATGAAGAAAAAGAATGAAGCATGTGATCTGAAAAAGGTAAGGAGCTGATAATATATGGCTTTATATAAAGTGGCAGCAAAGACCAGAGGGTGCAAAATCTTGGAATTAATGTCAGTGTTTCCCTTTTAATCCTTATTTTATTTTCTGAAAAAGAGTTGAGATATTTAATCAGTGTAGAAGTTACCGAAGAATCGAGATCCAAAAATGTCAAAATCATTAAAATTGAAAACGGGTTCATTTTTTTCAATTTTGATATCAATTAATCAATCAGTCAAGTTACAAGTGACTTAAAATGTTAGCCTGACTGCTATGTACAGCTGATGTACAGAAATCTGCTTGAAACGTCCATCATATTCCTTATTTGGCAATACACCAAGACATAAGAACTGTGCCCATATATGGCAACTACATAAATGTGTGCACTAGACTGAATTGTTGAATAATGTATGAGACTTTACCTTAGACTGTACTGTACTATCATCATCATTGTAGGGTAATGTAAACACTTTTTCTGCAATATTGCCATTTATGTACTTGTAGTTACCATATATGGGCATAGTTCTAATGTCTTGGTGTATTGCCAAATATGGAATATGATGGAACCATATACAGTAGCACACCTTTATTGTTCAATCGCAATGCACAACTACATTAACCTAAGCTTAGATCAAGGGTCTAAGGTCAAAGGTCAGTTACAAGAAACAACTCTTGACGATAGAAGAATGATCAAATACAAAAATGTCATGATATTAATTTGAAAATACACTCACATATACACAGTTATACACGCTAATCATAATTTTAATATTCCTTAAAATGATATATTATATTGCAGATTTTTATTATAAATGTTTAAAAGGAAAAGTTAATTTTGCATATTATTGATAAATCAAAATCAAAAAGTGCATTACATTGAAATTTCTTGTAAGAGTAAATCAGAAATTGATCAATGATTTTGTTCAAATAGGGAATGTTTTGTCTATCAGAATTTATTTTTTGGATTAATGAGTAATTATTGTATTGAGCCAGTAAGACGAGACAATACAATCAGCTGATTTCAATGTTTATACAAGGAACACATTTCTTTCTATGAGCATATCTTGTGTGGTGTTGAGTCATAATTGTGTTAATGTCTCTATTAATTATTAAAATATCACCCATCCCAATAAGTCCTTGCAATTCACTATGTACTTAAGCTACTTAAGATAATTTTTTTCTATTGTTTGTCATGAACATGTTATGAAGGATTTGATTTAGATTGCAATTATCCGTCAAAAGAAAAAAAGAATTTTGTTTAAGGTTATTTCCATAAAATGGCAGCAATTGATATACAGTAAACATTTGCAAGGGATGATTTCATTATTGATTTTCATTGTGTTAGGGAGTGACTGTTTTGTTGCCATGTAAATGGATACTCCTCAGATGATCATTCCTATTTATTGGTTTTCTAATAACTTCCTATTGAACTGTTGAACATTGACCACTTGATTACTTCATCAGGGTGTGGTGTGTTTGCATTGTATCACCAAGGAAACATTATAACAAAGTAATCTTCATTGATTTATGTTGCGATAATTAAATAAGTATGAATTGTTAAGAGATTAATTCAGCTGTTGATCATTTTTCATTCATTTGTCATTCATTTGAAATTTTCATATTGGGCACAGGCCCTTTTACAGTCTTAACTTTATTTACAGAAATATAAACGGTATTTTTCTATTTTTTAAGTTGACAAAAAATGTTTTGCTGAAACCTGATTGTTATATTATCATTAAATGAAATCATGGGCTTTCAATGCTACAAAATGTAAATGTTAACTTAATGAATGTCTGTCTTCAGGAATCCATGGAGTTGGAGACGAGAAACTCAGAGTTGACCTTTCAAATTAAATCTTTGGAAGAAGAGAAACTCAAGTTAGAGGCCCTCTTAACTGCACATCTACCTCACTGTCTCACTCAGTTGAAGGACATTGTTCAAACTCAAGGGGCAGAGTCACCTGTCACTCATCCCATGATAGTCCCACCCACCAGCTATCAATCAAAGTCAGATGACATTGAGGATACACAGGTTTTGGAGGAAGACTTTCTGGTTGAGGAGATCGTCCTTGATGATTTGATTCTCGAGATATGACTTCATACTTGACATAGGTTAACACCAAAATGTGACATGTGTACTTAAACAAGTGACATGAAATGTGACATAGTGCCAATTCACGCAATTCGTTGCCATGGTTATCAGTCAAAGAGACTAGAATCTGAATGTTAATGATCAACCTTGTCATTAATAGCAGGAGTATTACAACAAAGAACATGGGCAAAAGGTGCTGGTCACTTTACAAGTGAAAGTAAATCCATGTTTTATCCATATGTATACATACAAGTATATTTGAAACATGATGATTTTGGAGCAAACTCCAATATTTTATGTACAGTAAGACCAAGCGTCAAATCACAAAATGCATTTTAAAGGATACAATTTGTTTTAGTGGGGATGAAAGTCCAGTTCTCCTCATTTAAGTATCCTCAAGGTTTCAATATTTTTGTATTTTAAAGATTTCTTTAAAAAATCATAAGCTGCTATATCTGTTGCATTCTGGCAGTAAACTTTGCATGAGGAAAATGTATGAAATATATTGAAATCAGTATTTGTACAAAATCTAAATGATTTAGTATTTGTAAAGTTTTGCAAATATTGCACCAGCTTATGAAATATTTTTTCCATATTTCATAAGAACAACCTTGCACAATACATGAAATAATCATGATATTTCATACATGTACATGAAGGCATGTCATTTGTTTTGTTAATTGTAGAAAATGTCAAAACATTGAACAACAGTGTCGATGTGAAGATATCTAAATGAAATTATCCAGCTAAATCAATAATGATAAAAACATGGGCTTGTGTCTTTACTCTACTTATCTTTTAATTTCCTTGCAATTTATTGTTTTGTATCAAGATTTTGAATTTATTGAACAAAATAAAGTGCCAATAAAGGCATAACAACTTAATTTACAAACAGTGAATTTGTATGTTTGATACACATGGCATATTGTGTTCAATATATCACCTTTTGTAAGGGCACTTATGACAGGTGTTTTTATTGTAAGGGCAGGGTATGTACAGACTTACAGGCGATGAAGCTGGTAAGGTTGTGTAGAGATTACTTTGAATGGGGATGAGTCATCCTCTATTGGTTCCTCAATCAATAAAACATTGAATTGACTTAACAGCTAGTACCTCTATCCAAGACTGGGGGATGTTTCTATATGCTGCAATTCAGATTTGCAAGTTTTAACAAAATGGGTCTCCATAATTCTATGATTTATTTTTAGATCACAAGTCAAAAGATAATTAAACCATTTTTAATATCACCATTAAATACACCACCAAGATGTCATTTGCCATTGGTGTTAGAGTGTAAACAAATTGTTTACTTTTGTGACCATTTGCAAAACTTACCATATGGTATCATTTTACAATGTTAACGCCTAGTATACATATTTCTAATCATCCAAGTGACTATACAATGATATGTAGGTTGTAAAGTAAGTGAGTTGCTTTAATCTCAGGGTACATTCACATCATAAAAATGAAGTCACTCATTTTTTACAATGATTTTTTAGGATCACATACAGCTGCATTGTGTTCTTGTAATTCCTTGCAAATGACTTATGAATGAACAAGAGGCAACACTCACTTAATTGCAAACATAAATGTATAATCAAAACCATATTGATGATCAAAATTCTATGACAGCTTGCATTTTTCCTGTTAAAGTTCAATTTCAGGGCTCATTTTACAGTATAATGTGCAATTTTTATTTTTGTTAGTGATTTGACTTTTTGTGAGTGAAATGCATGATTCTATGTACTGTAATTGTATGTATGAAAGTACATGTATTTTGTTTATGTATATGAAGTTTAGAATTATTTTACATAATTGTGTATATTATCGGACAGTGTAAATAAACGAATGATTGAATCAAAAAGGATTGTTCAGTTTGTACTGTCCTCCAAATAATACCAAAGCCCATTCATTTCTGAGTCCTGACCTTAATATACAAAGAAAATTTTGTTCACTTTTTGCATCAACGGTCAAGAGTTTTTCCAAAATCAATTGTTGATTTGAGGAGTTTTTGTAGTTTCCATGTTGAAATTATAATTTCAAATAATTCTCCCTGTTCTTTTCATGTTTACCTGTTATCAGCTATTCTGATGGAATTCCTGTACAAAGAAGCTTTTGAAATCCAGCGATTGCCATTTTTACTGGGTAGCTAAGAACCTAACCCCCTTGGTCCATAAGAAACAAAGGACTATTCTGAGAATAGATGAAAGATAGGAAATGAACCTCTTGAAAAGGCTACATATTAAACCGGGTAAAATGTGAAAAAAATCATTAGACCCCTCACAGTGATATGGCTTTATAAAAATAAAGACTGCTATGGTATTTCCATCTTGCAAGATTCAGCATTGATTTCATCAGACCAGCCACATATACAAACACTAATCATTGCATTGTGATGATGATGTGTAAGCAATACATTGGTGGACTGTGCAATGGTACCATAACACCTGTTGAGCCACTTGCCTATGACTCATCATCACTTGTCACACTTAATGCTTTAGATGGATGGCTTTATCCCTTCATGGTAACCCTATTATGCGCATTGTGTTTCTAATATGTAACCCCTTTGAATTACATTTCCCATGAAGATGGAGAGTTAGGGATATCTTCAGAAATTAAATTTCGTAGTGTTGAATATTAATTAAATGGCCAGTTTAGATATGGAGGTTTTTGCAAAATAGTCAGTAGTTGCATTTGCTCATAAAATCAATGGAATATATAGGTAGATTATCAAATATAAATATTAGTCTATAGGTTATATAAGTGGATAATGCAAATATTGCAGCTAAAGCCTAAACCTACAATGACTCATTGAGAATGTTCCAGAACACTTAACTTTAAAAGGTAACCAAAGGTCACTTAAATCAAAATAATATCAGAGTTGATCTGTTTATGATTCACACTTTAACCTTTGACCTAAACTTTAAAATCCATGTTTCATACTAAAACTGATTCATCACATAAAACAAAATACAATTTAAATTTTTATTGATTTTTTATTCCAAATATTGGCATATTATATTCTCATCATATTTCATAACTCACAAAAATATCATCTACAATTAGTCACCCTTTTTAAAGGCAATTATAAATTAAACTTGAAAATAAATGACCCAATATACTGCATTTAAATATGTATACAGATGATTCATAGATTGACCCATTGAACCCCAAACAAAAGCTGGAAGAAAAACAAGATATAATACAATATTATAAATAAATGATACAGTTTCTTTTGAACTGATAGTGACAATACTATAGAAATGTCTTAAACGGTTTCTATCAATAAATTCACTATCATACATGAAATCAAGGTTCTACTAAATCTTCTCATACAGAATTTGCAAAACAAATAGTTCCAACTTTCAAAGTAATACAGTTTATAATCCATTCATTTTGAACTGTTTTTTTACCCTTGACCTTGCAAAAATGTACATGCACTTACAGAAATCATATAAATTCTTCAAATTATTTTTTGTTCATGAAGGTAAGGGTATTTTTAAAGAGTCTGATACAGTGGCATTACCAGCCATTGGGATTTGACTAACTGTAATACCCAATATTCACCTTCTTTGCATTGAGTGATAAATTCTTTCTCACAAACAGTATTCTGCTTAACTCCACAAAAATTTCTGCTTTGCCAATGTTAATTCTAGCAAAATGCAGCTCCAGTTAATAGAATAACAACCCAACAATTCATACACATATCAATGAGAATTCAAACTGAAATTCTGCTCTCAAGTGACGGAGTGTATATTATCACAAGTTGTTAGTCTATAATATAGCACTTGACTACTATGTTGGCAAATTCTCAACTGTTATCTTATCATTCAGGTAGCCTGTTTGTTTACACAATGGTCTCACTGAAAGTAGCCAGCGTGGAACTTGGGGTTGATTCATATATATATGTCAATATATGGATATATCAGGCATATATCAATATACATGTACATACAAAGCTAATAAATGGGTGTTCTGTTGGATTTCTAGGAATTGTATGGTTGTTTTGTTATAATTACTCACAATTGCAAATAGCATTTTTTGGTCACAACACTCTCAAGTCGCAACTTTTGAATTTTAGATGAAAAGTAAACATAGAGAGGTATCATGATATGGCAAGAATTCACTCATAAATCAAACACGTGGTAAAACCTATTTATGTTGCCACCCCTTGGTGGAACAGTCCATTACAGAGAGACTGTTATAAACATTGCCAATATTCTCTCATACACAGCTGCACACAATTTCTATACAGCTGTCTATGAAAGGTTAAAGATGAGTCATCATAAGTACTGTCTTAGGCCAGGTAGATATTTCTCCCAGAATGCAACGGCATATAGCATGTGACACACTTGTAAACCAATCAGAAATGTGAAAATTCTAATGATGTCCCAAAATGCAATTCAATTTTGAGAATACATCCATATCACTGAGGATATTCAAGGTCAGGCAAAGCTCCCTGACCAGATTCCAAGGAAGGAATCTATGCTCAGTAATCCACCAAAAATGTGTGCTAGAATTCCAAGACTTCTCTTTACTGATAAGGTAAAACCTCTAATTCTTCAAGGTAAAGTATAGGTTTCTTGACCTAATTCCAACACTTAACAATTTTGTGATGCAATCATAAAAGAAATATTACCCCAACTTCAAACACTGCTTTACATCAATAAGGTATACTGGCTAATTTCCCTATCAAATGCAATAAGTCACAAGCTGTATTACTGTGTAAGTATTTCTATAGCATAAGTTAATGCAAGTGCTGCAGCGTCAGTGTTCTGTATGGAAGGAATGCACATTTGGAGCAACTGTATCTTGAAGTAGCGCATTATTGTACAACATTTCACATTTTCTATATTACACACAAATGTGTTTGCATATATTCCTGTTTGTTTAGCTGCATTAGAGCTTAAAGAACATTTTGAAAATGGTCAATGAACATTAAGATCATCCAATAAAACTAATACCTGTAACTCAAATTGAATGAATTATCTGACTTGGCAATGCATAATTCGAAAAAAAACTCTGCAACTCCCAATGGGGAAAAAGTTTCAAGGTGACGCACTATTGGTGACTGTGAGTGAATGCAGCTAAGCAACATAGGTATATTCATGAACACAATTACTTCAGACAGTCCACATACTTATGAACAAATAAAGTGCACTAGTCTATGGCTAGTCTATATGTAATGGCACTGCTTGGGTCAACATAATATTTATCTCAAGATTAGTCTATCAATGCCAACCTCCAGGTCGGTCGTGACCCTGATTTGAGGTCATTAGATGTCATCGATGTCAAGGTCATCAAGGTCTTCCTCCACTTTTTTAGGTTCTTTCTTCTTCTCCATTTCAATACTGTCCTTGGCTGAATGGGAATAGACAACCTGGAAGATAAAAATACAAAACATCTTATTTTAAACTGATTCACATATTAATGTGACAAGTGCTATAAATTGAGAAAACACTTTAGAGGCACTGAGGTGTTTAAGAAGGAAAGAAGACACTTTTTTAACAAAAAATTCAATATGACCATCAAGTAATATGTAATTTGTTGTTCTTTTCATGTTATGTTATTTATGGGGGTAACATTACATGTTATTCATACAATAAGAGATTTCAGAAATTATTCTTGGGGACGATTTTAAATGTTGTTCATGGGGTTAATTTACATGCTATTCATGGGTGTGTTTTTCCTGCATTTTTCTTAGTTTAACATATTATTTCTGCAAGTAAATCTACACATGTCCTCACCTCAACATCCTCTTCTTCTTCACTGCTTTCTTCCTCCTCTGCTTCTTTCAACCATGTAATGAATGGTGCTGCCATCTTGTGGATCTCCTCACTTACCGCCTTAGAAACATACTTCTTGGAAACCTACATAGCAAAAGTAACATTGATTACAATGATTTAGCCTTGTAGGCAATTTCCTCTTTAAAAACATATTAGGTTTAGATTAATCAGGAAGGGATAGTAACTCATATATAGCAAATTGTCCTACATATGGTCTCAACACATTTGACATGTGACCAAGTGATTTCAAGCAATACTAACACACAAAATATGGAAATGAACCCAGTAATAATCCAGTGTTTATCACTAAATGTTCTAAATAAATTGATTTAATTGAAAAGCCTATAATATACTACCAAAACCCACAATATCAATTCCCCCAAGTTGCTTTTTTGTTTAAAAACTTATTTACCTTTTTGTCCCAGTCGATAATAATCTCTTCATCAATGACATCTAAATCATAGAAAGTCTTGAGGATAAGGGCAACCTTTGGCATGAGTTCTTTCTTATGTAGTTCACCTACAATTTTCTCAAAGGCCCCAAGCAGATACTTCTGGGCCTTATGGTTCTCATGGGTGAACTACAAAACAAAATACATGTACATATATTAAACAGAAACAGATTCTTATCAATACCCATCACATCTCTAAATTGTTATCACTTAAGCTATCGGGTCTAGAAAATACAAATACATATGATGGGTATGCAAGTCTACAGAAACCATATCATATATGATACCTCTTGGAAAAGTTTTCTCTGAAGTTAAAACTAAGTTGGAAATTTTATAAAATACTGGAATTACCAAAAATGTCTGACTCAGACTCATATGACAGTTGGTAAGACTGTTCTTGTTTGGGAATTTGAAAAATGAGAGTTTCTAATTAAGTTGTAAATCAGACAGACTGTTGCAACAGTTCCAGAAAATTCTGTTATAAATATGGTTACATCAGTGCTGCCATCTAAATAACAGTTTGAACATAAAATCCACTGCTTTATACATATAAAAGTACAACATAACATCCCAAGATATTTAATAACATGAGGAAGTTTGGTTGTACAGCCACCTACCCTCAAAAGCAGCACTCTGTAATCTTTAATTTGTTGTACAATGTTGTCATTGAAAAGGATCTCTGCAAGGATGAGGGGAGCTTTGTCTTTGATGTCCAGCCTTTCAGCTTCACCTGTGATCTCCTTTCCACTTTCCTTCAGCATACCATCATCTTTCAATTGCTACACGGAGAAAGAAAACAATGTTTAATCACTCATTTATGTCTCACCTAAGTGGTGTTGCTTTAAAACAGCAATTAGATAAAATAATTATGAACATAGCCACTATGAAACAAGATATATGCACCAATAGACCTACTTTGACATGGTTGTAGAACATGTCAATACGTTCAGCCTGTGTTTTCTCCAAGTCATTACTGAGAGTTAAACCTTTGGCAGCTCCACTAAGTTCCTGCATACGAGCCTGCAACAGAACAATTATCTAAATTAATGACTAAACAGGTATAAACATATGCACTTGTAATTGTAAAACTAGTTATCTAATCATCGAGATGGTCTTTGTCAAAAAGTGTGGGATAAAATGTTCAAAATAGGATAAGATGAAAGGAACATTTTACAGATGCCAGTTACCTCCCATCCATATCCATCCATCCAAGTGAGATTGTAGAATAGGGTTGAAAAATATTATGATCAATTTACATGTAGTTAGAATTTTGAATATGCGCATCCACCAGAGTACAACTCCTGAGGATAACACTGGATTGTTATTACATAAAATGCCAGTTGTTTAATTTCTATTTCTTTATTTTTCCAGTTCAGTTTTTTTTATTAAATTCAATGAAAAAAAAATTCAGGTTCTAGTGCCATATAATGGTATTCACTACTATTAAGATTTATGACGTCCCCATAGTGAGGTGTGCAACATACCTTGACAGCTTCTGCAGATGTGTCGTCTCCCCAGTCATTCTCCCAGTCTCCATCATTCTGAAACACATGCTTCTTACAGTAATAAAGGTTTCACTATTTAACAATTGCTAAGTTTGGCACAAGTTTGCTTTACTCCCATCTCTAATTACTTGCAAAGATGAATATCTAACAACTAGGCCTTTTACATATCCTTGTAATGTCTAGGTATTTAATCTTTATTCAATGTTTATATGGGTCATATCTAAATAGTTTAAGATGGGCAAAATTAAAATTAAAACCTAAAGATGTGATCAACCTTCTCTTCCAGTTTTCATCACTCAATTAGATGAGTTTAATATATATTTAAAAATTTTAGAATACATGGGACGTTACCTCTGGTGGAGCATCAACAGCACCGCCTTTAGCTCTGTTCTGTGCCATCTGATCTTGTTGATTCACCTCAGGACTACTTGGTTCCTCTGCGTCTCCATTCTGTTCATCTACAAATAACATTGGGTGGTTCATGACAGAGTTATGTCCGACTAATTCATGGTTAAATATCTTAGAGTTCAGGAATTCAGAGTAAAATCATATAGTGAAGAATTTCATTCACTGACACACATGATCCAGAAGGCCTTGAGGAAGACACTAGACTTTCCTGACATTAGGAACTACTTTCTCTCCATAGTCATTGACTATATTAAGATTATTATTTGGTATATTTCCATGGGAGTTGTAGAGCTGACAGAGTGGAGTTTCTTGAAAACAACATTTTTTACATGGTAACTGTCCTCCTTAATACCATTTGAAGGTGATTTAAAATTTCCAGATAAAAAATGCACATACTTTTCTTGCCACCTTTCTTGTTTTTCTTGTCCTTCTTGTTGGGTGTACTTGAGACAGGATCCATGTCTGGTGGGTTCTTAACAATGAATGTAGTGAGCTTGTGCCTCATGTCAATCTGGCCCCCATAGCCACATGCTATACACCTCTGAGCTATGCTGCCGTTTTTCTTGGTAGAAACAATCTACAAAGGAACAAGTAAGATTTGCTATCTAATATACAAGCTGATATGCCACTCTAAGGGATTCTGCAGGAGAGAAAACTTATAAGGACATTTTTCTAGAATAGAGTTCGTTAGATGGAGCAGACAAAAAACTACCCATTGTACAACAGATCACGCAGACAACTTACCAAGTTTGTTTCAGGGTTGTCACATTCGGGACAGAGCACAAAACGTTTGATGAAGCCATCAAGGAGGTCTTGTAAGCGATTATTGTCATGTGAACCATTCACAATGAAACGCTCATTCTTCAAGTCAAACTGTGTTTGTGCTCCTAGCTCACAGCCGAAGTATTTGCACGGGTCTGCAATAATAAGGTATATTTCATCAATATTCAAAATTTAATTTACAGTTCTGAGGTTGAGATTATGACATTAGTCAGGTGTGCCATATGACTGTGAATCTGAAGAGTAGAGAATTGAAGGCTATATAAGGATTTAAGAGAGAGTGGGGTAGGCTCCGTGGGGGTAGAGACAAGAGCAATGAAAAAACAAGAACTTGCCCATGTGAGCTAAACATGCTACAGCATCATGTGAGGAATTCTCTTATACAATCTATCTTTGCCATCCTTTTACAATGCTAAGTATTGTTCTGTAATGTATCTATTTCCCATGAGATGCATTGATAGAATGAATTATTCTAATCCTACCTAAGCAACATATATACTAGATCTATATACAGCATACTGCGCTCACAATGTTACTTCAACATATGATATATGACTAGCATAGAAAAAATATATGCATTATTAATTAGATTCTAAGATCCACATCACGGAAAGCTAAGCTTGACGTATACACTGTGTTTTAAGTCATATCACTATATCATATTCAGATCGTGTAAAATGTATTATCTTATATCAATAAGATTGTCAGGCACTGTCTGATAAACCTATCCATAATATACAGCAGCTAATCTACACATTGTATGTTATAATACTGTAGTTAATATGTAATGTAAACCATATGCTATTTGTAGCACATCTTCCATTACCTACATCTTCATTAAAACATGTGGCACAGTAGTTCTGCTCATTCTATTATGTTCTCATATAAAGAATCAACCAATTTAGTTAAGGGAATGCATGATGAGAATAAGATGCAGTGTCACTACTCATATTTGGTATTTAAATGTAATCATTGATATGAAATACAAATCAACTATGAAAAATGATGCATCAATATTGAATGATTCCACAGTGACAGCTACATACACTCTTCAAAATATGAAAATATTTGTATTATATTAAAGCTTTCCATTGGTAAATTTGTTTTTAGGTAAAAATAAAAATAAGCAAGGCAGGCTACAGTGACATACTTCATTATTGAACTCATGATACCAAGACAGAAGATTACTAAACTAATGCGCCTTCGTTAATCAGATTATACTCCTAGAATAAGAAGACACTCTTGCTTATTCTAGGTCTTGATACTAGATAAACATCAATAGCAATCAGAGAAAAATGTCTGGATGAAAAACCTATCCTTTAAGTTCATCCCAGAAAATATGAATAAATGTCGATGAATTGTGCAATTTTTACACTTCAGGAGCCACATCATGCATTTTATTCATTTATTCTTGAATATTACCAACTAACAACCACTGGTTAAATTTGAGGTAAACTGGCTTTCTAATTCAGAGTAACAGCAACTTTTGAACAGTAAAAGAAGTAGTACATACTTTCTACTTTAGAGTAACAGCAACTTTGTTTTACTGTTCAGAATAACAGCAACTTTGTTTTACTGTTCAGAGTAACAGCAACTTTGTTTACAACATAAGTTTTAAATATTAAGCCACTATATCTATAACCTCTTAATATTATGTGGGGAATGCCATTGTAAGCAATTGATAAGTAGTAGATGTAGTATATCACAAGAAGAACACTGTGACCAGACTGCCCAGTTACTGTATTAGCAAAACAAAGTGAATGTCAAGAAATAGACAAACTAATAGAAATAGACAACCTAAAAAATTACTTGTACAAAATTATAACATAGTTTATAAACATGTACGTTTGTACTGCGAATGCCATGAAACTAACTTTGTAGTATCAACAGCAGTCAACAATACAAGGAGATGTTTAAATGTCTGTGTTTACAACTTGATCACAATACAGGTAGCATGTAAACACTGGCTCGATTGGCATGTTCATTTTCAAATCTAATTTCTCCTTATGAAAGGGCATAAAACTTCTAACAACGCTGAGCACTGTCTACATTTTTCGACACCTTGTAAGTAATAGGTCGAGGTTTTTTTGTAATGTTCCACAATATTGGAATTATCAAACAAATGAAAAAAGTATTCTAACAAAGGTTTAATATCATGTTTTTGAGGTATTATCAGAGCAATATATTTTTGAAATATTTCAAGCAATATTCATAAGTGATTGAACAAAATTTGAAACCTAGTTAAGTGGAGCCACCTATTAACAACACTGCCCGCATGGTCCCATGGTATAGTTGGTAAACAGATGAATCGAGGGTAAATCATTTATTTATTTGCAAGTCTAGACACTGTGATTGGATCTACAGGGGCATCATGTCACATTAAACTTCTGGTAAATATTGATCAAAGACATTTGCCAGAATCTCCCTTTAGTATCAAGATTTATAGTGAAGATATGCAGCACAAATAATTCATAAAGGAAAAGCAGCATCTTAACACTCTCCAATAGAGCTAAGCCAAACATGAAATAAAGATACATTTGGATCATAACTATTATGTTATTTCCATCTAAAACAAGTATATGATAAGTCTTATTTCCTTCTGTTTTATAGTTTATTTATACTTTACTTTAAGGTAGGTCAAGTAAGATACAAAATTTGGTGATTAATTAATCTTACTGGCAGAATGAGCTGCCATATTTCAAAATGTACCCTCCAAGACCCACCTTAAAGTGCAATGTTTTTCTCTGGTATACTCACATGTAGGTGGCCTAGAGAGAGCTTTGGCAACATCCACCATGTTTACTATAACAGTTTTGATCCCATTACCTTTGCCTTCCACCTGGAATACAATATACATATAGAATTAACTCAAGTTCATTACCAGAGAGATGGATTTACACAGAAATATGTATATAGAATAAAACGGGAACAACTAAACAATCATCAACTCCACAATAAGCAAATCCCATTGAACACTACATTTTTTTATCAATCTTATATCAGTACATAGCCAAAATATCAATTTTTAATGAAAATTGGCATTTTGATATGAGCAGCCATTTTTATCTCTTGTAAAACTTTAAAATATTATATTACAGGGCGTGGTGTTTGCTTAAGTGAAATGTATAGACTGCAGATATACTTGCACCAGGTGTTAGACCTGATGTATTCTACACCATCACTCCCTTAGGCCTCTACAAATTAATTGTATCTAGCAATCAGGACATACCAAATCTTCACTTCTTGCCTTTATTTAAGATTTTTCAATTTTCAAATGCTTTTTTTGTCATTTTTAATTTTTAGAGTGAAAGATATTCTCATTATGATGAACCAGTGATCTCCGCAGCATTAAAGCAAGTGGGCGTAGCACCCACCTGAGATTTTGAAAATAGTCTTGCACCCACCTGAAAATCCATTTGCGCCCACTTGAAAAATTGGCATATTTTGACCAATTTTGGTCTGAATTGTGAAAATGAGAATTTTGCACCCACCTGAGAAAATATCCTGGGGAGATGACTGTGAACAGTCAATTTTAAAACTATACAAGCCTTAATACTAAAGATATTATAATTATGTAGTAATGTTACACACATTTAGGTTTAAGTACCACACTGTATCGTACACTGTGCCACTACATTTAGATTTGCATTTAAAGAAAGTTGTATGTCTAAAGATTCTTAGATAACATTCAAGAGTTGTCAAGGAAACCTTATCAAAGCTTTCATTTATTGTCAAGGTGACAACTGATGTCTAGAGACATAATTGTTGTCTTGGCAACCACAATTTCATTTGATCGTAAACACTACCTACTGTGTAAAAATCAGTGAGAAGAGAAATGTAATTTCATGTATAAAAGGTAATTTCCTGAAAATCCCATCTTCAGTCATTTGTTGAAATAGTGTAAATGTCAATATCTCGGTCTAATCCCTAGTCTAACAAAAGAAAAGTTGTTGCGAGTAAACTTAACGCAACATATTTACCCAGGAAGATCTGTAACTTGGATACGATCATGTCGCTTCTGAGATTCATCAAAATACACTGAAGAATGATAGGATTTTTCATATTTTTGTCAACTGGACCATTATAAACTAGAAAAACAGCAACTCCACGGAGTAGCAAATCCCACCGAACAGCCACCTTGAAAAATCCGTCCAATGGTATTTGAGTTATCAAAGATTACCTTTTTTATGAAAAATGGCAGCCATTTTGAAATTCAGCTGACCCCTTTGAAATTTCTTCTGAAGCAGATCTCCTATTTCCCTAAACATCAGGATATAAAATTGGAACCAAATCCATTCACTGCTGGTATTTTAGTTATCAATGATATTGTTTTTTTAACGAAAAATGGCGGCCATTTTGAAATTTAGCTGCCATCTTGAAAATCCCTTCTCGAGCAGAGCTCCTATGTCCCTAGGCATCAGCATGTAAAATTTGAACCAAATCCATTCAACAGTATTTGAGTTATCAAAGATAACATTTTTTACAAAAAAATGGCGGCCATTTTGAAATATGGTTGCCATCTTGAAAATGTCTTCTTGAGCAAGGTTCCTTTGTACCCAGGCAACAGCATATAAAATTTGATCCAAATCTATTCAATGGTATTTGAGTTATCAAAGATAACGTTTTTTTACGAAAAATGGCCGCCATTTTGAAATATGACGGCCATCTTGAAAATGTCTTCTTCAGCAGGGCTCCTTTGTACCCGGACAACAGCATATAAAATTTGAACCAAATCCATCCACTAGTATTTGAGTAATCAAAGATTATATTTTTGTCCGAAAAATGGCCGCTTTTTTGAATTTAGCAGCCATATTGAAAATTCCTTCTCGACACCCATAAGGCATAAGCCTATAAAATTTGAATGAAATCCGTTAACCGGTATTTGAGTTATTGCCCGGACACACGAACGGACGGACGGACGAACGGCTTTTCTATATCCCCCTCGAACTTCGTTCGGTGGGATAATAATCTTTCATCACAAATGGACTATAGACATATAGTAGAACCTGTGTAAGTGGAACACAAAAAAGTGTTCAACTTGGGATGTGTTCCACTAAAACAGGTTAATTAACATGGAGTAGAGAGGCCATGCGACTTTAAAAAAACTGTTCCACGTGTGAGATGTTCCACTTACAGAGATGTTCCACTTAGCAGGTTCTACTGTACTAATATGTTTTGCTGACAGACTGCTCTACAAGACCTGACTTCTAGAATAAGGACTCCTTCACTTATTGTATTTTCTCCCAAGATCATGTATAAAATCTCAACCATGAGTTTTTGCAAGATTTCAATTGGAAATACATCATATCATGGACTTGCTTTATTCAAATGCTACTGAATCAGACCACAAACGCGAAAGAATAAATCAAACATTAAGAAATTCAGGGTACTGACCAGATGTGAAGAATTTACAAAATAATAAAAAATTCAGGGTGGTGAATATTGCCCAACTGGTTGATATTTTCCACATATCATGACATATCATGACTCTTAGCTCTTAGTAAGCAATAAAAGAGCAATTCAATAACATTATCTCTGTTTTTAAATGGAAGCCATTGTAACCTCATCTTATCCTTACTTAGGACATAAATAGAGCAGGAAAAACATTAATATTAGAAGTGCAAGATTTCACGTTTCACAAGGTTAATTCGACATCTAGCGGAAAGTATGCCCCATTGAAATCGTGTTTGGGTTTAGTAATGCTGCCATGGGATTTCTTATACATCCTATTCTGTAATGATTCCCAACTGAACATACTCAAATTTACCATTGAATTTTCCAGTAAAGAGTAATAATACTTTCCAAGCTATGGTTAGGGTTGATAAATAGAATAAATTCATTGTACCAAGCAAAATGTAATGACAACCTTTACTTGAAAAGTAAAGCCTGATACAAGGAAATCTTGGTTTCGCAATGTTATTTCTAAACACTGACCTTGGCTATGATTTTAGGCATCTTGTAGCGGTAGTAGGGGTCTGTAACACTGCGGTTGACATTGACAGACATGATGAATGGTCTATCTTAGTCCCTTTATGTCTTCTATGGAATATGCCGCTATAACGACTAGTTGAAAACCTGTCTTGGTTGGGTTTGGGGAAATTCATAAAACTGTTTTTACCGCAACACCTTCGTGTATTAATTTCGGGGCCTAGCAGTTTTCTACCTTGGCTAAGCAACAACGCTGAAAATACAAAAAACAGGGAAAGAATTATACATTTATTAATTACATATTCCGTATATCAACTCATATACAGTTACAACAAATACAAAGTGATAGAAAATAGATACAGTAAGGGACGAGATGAAATGGCAAAAATCAAGTTAAAACATGACAACTTTTGTAAGTCATATTTGTTTAAGTACTGGATGATATTCCTATCAAATTCCATGCTATTCACAAATGGTATATATCAAATCATGTTGTCACATGTTTTTAATATAATCAAACCAGTAGGTGTGAAAAATATGAAGATACAAACAATTTAAATCTCCTACAATAAATCAAAATGTGATGAGAAATTGCAATGTGTATGAAGTCAGCTCAGTTCAGCAGTGCTATTCTTCTTTGATTTTATCTTCTTACGTCCTTTACAGGATCCATATAATTTAGATCCTATCACTTTGCATATTGTGAGTAATAAGACTAAACTTTTCACCTCAACAGGAATAGTTCATCCTTCCTGATAATACAGTTAATAATGAAAAGGAATATAGTAATAAGTTCAGCAAATCTATCAAGTGTTCTTCTTAAATGTTAAAATGTGAGAGATGGAAACCCTAAATTGGTGGGTGGTGGGGATTTAATGAGAGGTGCTCTTAAAAAATCAACAGCCCTTTACACCGCATATTCCTCTTCCGCCAACACACGGTGACACATCAGCTCAAGACAATGTAAGTTAGCATTTATAAAAGTATGATAATAACAAGACACACAGTGATAAATATCGCACTTTGAAGAGCAAACTGGCCACCATGCAATTTACCCAGCATGGCCAAAACCTAATCAGACCTTGGCACTAGTCTGCTCTTGCATCTGTAAACATTTCAAGTTGACAAGGTTAGCGGTTTTCGTGCAATTTTGATGACAAGAATTTATTTGTAGTCTTGAACTTTGGGAAAATTTAGATAACATTGTTTGTGACCTAATTTGATGACCTTCGACCTCAGTAGGTCTTTTGTAATTAGCTGACCTAAATTTAAATCCAAAATATCAATTAAGAAAATCAAATTTTTGACCTTTTCAAGGCCACTGAAGGTCAACGAAAGGTCAAATCTGAAATCTAAGGTCAGATTTGAACTTTTGAGAACTTGTAGATGTTTTTAAAAAAAAATTTGGTCAATTTGGAGCAAGTTGAAAAATTCAAAATGGCCGCCAAATTCAAAAATTCAAAATGGCCACCATGTAATTCAGCCAGCATACCCAAAACCTAATCAGATCTTGGCAATAGTCTGCTCTTGCATCTGTAAAAATTTCAAGTTGAACGGATAAGTGGTTTTCTTTGAATTTTGATGACAAGATTTGTTGAAAAATTCAAAATGGCCGCCACATAGTTTACCCAGCATGCCCTTAACCTAATCAGATCTTGGTACTAGTCTGCTCTTGCATCTGTAAAAATTTCAAGTTGAACAGGTAAGCAGTTATCCTGGAAATTTGATGACAAGATTTGGTTTATGTCCCGCCCGCCCGCCCAAACGCCCGCCCAACAGCACAAGACGACGACAATATAACACTTTTTCAAAGTGCGATAAAAATGTATATAGTCTCATAGCAACTCTTCTCTAGAATGGGCTTAAATCTGAAAGTATAACACATAGAAATGGCATTTTATAAACCTGATGAAATGATATCCTAAAGGAAATAATTGTCATGAATCAAATGTGAAAACATATTCAGGTAAAACAAAACTCACGCCTACTTCTTCAACACAATGTTACAAATGAGGAAAATGAAAATACACATATGAAGTGTTAACACCTGAGCTAACGTGACAGGGGACTCTCAATGAACAGTATAAAAATCAAATCACATTAGTGATGTTAATTTTTTATGAAGTAAATCTGAATTATGGTTGACGAAATAAGATTAGGAACTGAAAATAACTATTCTAATGAACTTTTGACACAGGATGTAACATTCTACCATCACGTCATTAGAAAACCTGATGACACTGATGCAATAAAAAGACGTGAATTTGTGCAATTAGGTACAAGACACCTGATTTAGAACAGGAAAATGTAGGTGTACTTGGTAGCTATTATTCTGTCAAGATAATTTCAAGAGTTTTTATTGCAGTGCTTAAGAAGCATTCAGGAAAAAATTGTGACAAAAATCTGCTCTAGTATTTCAATTTAAAAAATTCTCAATGCAGAATTTTTCAGATAACCCTTAGTCAACCCAACCCCATTGATTTTAACATGGTTGAAATATATGATTTTATTGAGTGTCGACAATAATCATGATACAAAGAAATTGATTTATTGTGTAACTAAAAATTACATGGCATTTTAAAGGGTACCTTGATCGTAGATAACAAGATAAACACACTAACATATTGTTGAAACATCAAATTTTCAATCAGATTGACATAACTGTCGAATACGCCTGGTTCAATGTCATTTCATTTCTAATAGACTAGATGCGAGTAGAAAAAATCTTGATTTTCAAAATTCAGTCAAAGCGATGTTATATTTGAAATCTACATGTAAAGTACATCTAGAAATATGGATTTGAAAATTGTTTATCAAGTTTGAAAATTTCATTATTTTTGAAAGTGTGACTTCTAGTTCGGGTTGATTCTCCATAGAGCCCATGTTACAAAATCACAAAAAGTGAAATATCTTTTCTTGTATTGGTCAGATGACATTTTCATTTACTGGACATATTTTGCATAACTATTAGATACATAAGGGTTAAATGAAAATTGAACCACTAAAACAGATGTTATTTAAGTTAAAGGGATTTTTCTACTATACCCGCCATGCTATCTGACCCGAACGAGCCATCTGGTGGTGAAACTGGTAACTACCTACTCGCATCTGCGTTATTCTGAATATTTGTTTCTGCATGTAAATTAGCTGATCGAATATTTGGTATGAGAATCTGCCATAAATTATGTTTCAGTCCTAATACTACTTATTCTCCCTGTTTTCTTTGAGGTATCCTTCCATTAATAACATGTGATACACTGAAGTATTTTAATGAGAGCAAGCATGTCCAATAAGTGCACATCACAAACACAATGCTGTTTTAACATTGTCATATTATTATGAATATTGTCATGGTGATGATGATGTCAAGTCAACTTGCCACACATTCAGACTTGTTTTCTAGTTTGTTTCAAGATCCAAGACAAACAAATAGGGGCAAGTGGTAAGTTGAAAATTCAATATTCATAAATAAATTTTGGTAGAAGGTGGTCATTTTGAAAAATGGCCGTCATTTTTGCTACATACTTTGTTTGTAAAAATCCCAACCATGGCTGTTCGATGGGATTTGCTACGCTTTGGTGTTGCTGTTGTCTAGTTAATTTTCTTTGTTGCAATCTTCAGACACTTAGCAATGGTTACTTGGCATGCTTTTACCTGCTTGTTATTGCTTATTGCTTCTATATCTGGATGAAGGATGTCTGAGTATTAAAGGATGTATGACAATACAATAACTTCAGAATTATTCGGTGATACAAGGGGCGATCCATATATTCTGATAAAAATGCTCTCATTTTGTGATTTTTCCACATATCCCTCTCATTTTTTCAGAAAATGTAGATCATGTAATTACACATACAATGCTAAAATATTATTGCTATATCTTAAATTATGAATGAGATCAGGTTGCCATGGTAACCTGTATCAAGGGTAGGCAGGTCAATTAAATTATAACATATAAATATCATAATAACTTGTTATTTTAATCATTTTAAAGCATGCGGAAATCATGCATTTTTCTAAAAAAGTTTGGTATTGTTACTCGTTGTTTGTTGCTAAACAAATGTTTATATGTGCTCACTATAACATCACAACAAATCACAATAGCATTGTAGGACAGAATGGGCCAATTAACCAGATGCGAGTAGGTAGTTACCAGTTTCACCACCAGGTGGCTCGTTCGGGTCAGATAGCATGGCGGGTATAGTAGAAAGTTACCTTTAACTTAAATAACATCTGTTTTAGTGGTTCAATTTTCATATAACCCTTATGTATCTAATAGTTATGCAAATCAAAATATGTCCAGTAAATGAAAATGTTATCTGACCAATACAAAAAAAGATATTTCACTTTTTGTGATTTTGTAACATGGGCTCTATGGAGAATCAACCCGAACTAGAAGTCACACTTTCAAAAATAATTAAATTTTCAAACTTGATAAACAATTTTCGAAACCATATTTCTAGATGTCCTTCTACATGTAGATTTCAAATATAACATCGCTTTGACTGAATTTTGAATATTTAATGGCGTAAATCAAGATTTTTTCTACTCGCATCTTGTCTATTAACATTACATGTTATGAGACACACCAAAAATCAAATTGTCAGATGAGGTTAATGTGACTGATGCAGCGTGTGACATTAACGGATACATTAGGGAATACCATTAGATTTTCTTTCAAGAATACATAAGTAAGAGGACACTGTCAGAGACATACATGTACTCATTAAGTGCATGGGCAAGGTGTTATATCTGCATAAAGAATATATAGGTAGTATTGTAAAGAGGAAGGCATGGTCACTGTTGAAGATCATCCACAATCTGGTTGCAAGAAGAGCTTGCGGACAGAGAATAACACAACTATTATTGAGATGTTACTTATGAAAAGATAGCTATCCCACTGTATAAATTATCAAACAGGGGCAACAGGGGTATGGAACAGATCAATGAATAGTTGGCAATGACTAAAACACTAAATCTAAAACACATGTATACAGCTTTTGAGAAGGGGATTTTAAAGTTTACTCAAGTATAATTATTTTCAAAAATGTTCCATCTGATGGATTTAAATTATCCATGGATAATACAAAGACTATTTTATCTAAGCATCATTGTGTACTGCACACAGACTAGGGATTAAATCATAACCACTGTCATATAGACATATTACCGAGTATAGCACCTGCAAGATCAAAATGATTTATAAGAGTCTACAATGTTCATATACAGTGAACAACATTTTTGCATTAGTGA